AACCAAACGCAAAGACAGTGTGACAAACAAATTACAGCAAAAAGCGGCCATCTTGATGACACGCTTTTCTTAAATGTTTAACAAGCGAGAGAGTAGTGACTCCAGTTCAGTTATAATCTTATTTTCTTTTTTTGTCTCTAGTGGGGCACTTGTCGGCGTGCGTGGCACAATGGCAAATTCACGGGGACCCTATCCCCTGTGTATACACAGCTGTATACGTTCTCCTCTATTGTATGGAGAAAGTATTGTTTTCATCGAATTTTCTAGTTTGAGTTTGAGTGGATATATCTGTTTTGGGTCACCCTGAACCCAAAAAGTGGGTTTCGATGTCTGTGTGTGTGAGAGAGTGTGGATATGTACAGAGCTACATACACCTGTAGTCCGATTTTGATGAAATTTGGTTTGGAGGTTCTAATCCGTGGTATCTCCATGAGTTTTTTCATTTGTTCAAAATTTTGATTTTTTATTGTAATTTCCCCATCAAAATATATCCCATAAAATAAAAAAAAATCGGATTTTGAACAAAACCTCTTTTTAATAAAATAATGTGTTTTGGTCTTTATAATTCTAAACAAAAAAATGCAACAATGCAATAATGATTGCTGTAACAATTACGGTTTAAAAGTTATTTCAACTTTTGTGATTTTTTCCTACAAAATTAGCATAGGCTAGTTACTCCCACTGCTTACTTATGATAAAGGTTGTTGACAAGCTTATGGGAGAAATTATGTCTCAGATTGCTGATACCGTTTATTCCTTGTTCAACCAACATGGTTACTTAGTAACCCAAGGCCGATGTAAAAGAATCGACTTATAATTCAATTTTTTACGTAATTAGATTTTTATTGTCAGTTTTAACTGCAATTAACATGTTTTTAGGACAGAAATAAATTATTTACAACATTTGAATTAAATACTTCAAGCAGTTTTTCAAGATCTTTGTGTAAGCAAGCATACAAGCAAATATTGCTCATGTAAGAGTATAGGGTAGGATAATATTTTTTCTTGAACTAGTAGGCCATATACCAAATTGCATATCTTTATAACAAGCCATTCTTTAATTTTAAAAAATGCGGCTATACGAGCAACTTTTGAGTGTTTAAATTTTTGAATATTATATTTTGACTTGTCTATGGCCAAAAACAAGACAATAATACCTTTTAATAATACCGGAACAAGTTGGTAGAGAGTTCCGCCCAGGGCACCTTGTATATTACCATTATTGCCGCTATCTGTGTTTTTTGAATATTTTTTAGTTTATTTACTGTAGGTACATTACTTGATCAGAAAACATTGACCGAGGTGGATCAGTTATAGATGAATAAAATATCAGGTTCAATATTCTCTGTGTTCTGGACCATGTTTCGTGTGTTTATAAACAACATAACTACACCCATCATAAATCACTGCAGTCCAACCTATTTGAATAATCATTTTAATTCAGAATATTTAATTAGTTTACTATCTGCAATATGTTTGGATGTCAATCACTTTTAGATTGCTACTTAATATATTACCAATTTTACCAACACAAAAAAAAACTGTATGGTGGCCATTTCAATTAAAAGTATAAAGTATAAAAAAGTATACTAATGTATACTAATAATATCTTCCAGGAAGTTATATCGTATACGTTTTTAATCGAAGTATGTCTTTTATGTTCACTCATATCCTATACAACAAAATAGTAACTATATGTTTTAGTGATAGCTCTGGTTGTTTCTAAAGTTTTCATCGTTATAGGGATTTTTGATATGTGATTTTCAATGTTCTTAACAACCTATTACTAATACTTTCTTATGAAATAACGAGCATACGAATGTAGGTATTTTAAGCCAAGTATGAATGGAGATGAGTGTATGATGAGTTGCGCGATCTTGTAGTCTTGTTAGTGACTAAGGAAAGACATGCTTAAGTTTTCTGCTGTGTTAATGTAAACTAAAAATATAGGTATTTAAATAATTGCGGCTATATATTAAACTAGCTGCTCTACCCGTTCTTCGCAACGGGTGGATGTACTATACCGCCTACTGTAATCCAAACACTGTTTAAGTACCGGTACTTCAAGTTTATAAACAAAAAGCCTCCAAATTTATACAAAAAGAATAACTTACATTGTAACTGTCCTACCGATTACACGAAAATTTATCAATAACATTATTATCATAACTTAAGACACTTTAATAATATGCAGATCGAATGAACACTGATGCTTGGTTGATGCAGAAACGGTTATAGAATGTTTTTTTTATTTCCTTAATCAATGACATAGTTTTAGAATAAATTCATAACACACTTTTAGAATAAATAAATCTACCACATAGGTTTTTAAGCTTTATTTAATTTACAATCTGTTCAAAGAGTAGATCAATTAGCAAATGCAATAACAATACCACATTAAAAGTTAACTTGAAGAACATGAGCTAGTGATTGACCACTGTAAACACTAGCTAACAAAGATAATTTTTATAACACTTAGCCGAATCTGAATGGGAGGTCCAATATCGTATTCATTCAGGCTGTAAATGGTGTTGTGTTTGTCCAATAAATTTAGTGCAAGATGATTTGAACTATTTTCCAATTTGATCATGTATTTTCACTAGATTATGTAATTTCTTCTTTGACTATTTGAATTCTTAGATCATAATGAAGTGTTTTGTTGGTAACAACCCAAAGGTGCGTTGACAACTATTTGTTTAAAATGTAATTTATTTTGTTTGGATCAGCTGCCTGAAGTTGTGAATTAAGCATTGTTGGCAGTTCTGATGTATACATTGAAATGACAACGCAAATGTAAACATTGTGTATTTTCTCATGCTTCCATGGAGACCAATTATTAACATTTTAATTTTGAAATATTTTACTTTTACTTTTTATAATTTCACCACTCAACTTTGGACATCCAAGGGGAACTCTAGTAAATGGGAATAGTCCTATGACATTCATAGATATATGTGTAAAATACTCATGCTTAATTTTGGCTGTATCGCTTTAGTATTTTAGTCGTGATAGCTGCACAGACAGACAGACACAACCTCAATTGTATAATAGTATAGATAGATAAACGAAACGTTCAAAAACTCCGGTACTAACCGGGTTCTACAAGCTAACATATAACATTTTGACTGCATCAACTATTTATGGCCCAATACAAGCGGTAAGTAACATCCGGTGAGGAACATTCAGCATTAATATGATCTGACCTCAACATCCGATCTTCCACCACTTTGTTGACGTAGTTGTTTAGTTCTTAACTGAAATGTGTCAAAAGCATGTGGCCTATTAAACAAACAATATCAAGCGTAACGTTGTACTGTAGTTTTAAATTACATGTTATAGACAACGCTACACGCTTTTTCGGTATAGATGTCAGTTCAATCGATTTTAATATTTATTCCGAGCAGCTTTGAATGATTGTAAGCTACAATGTATAAACTATAATATACAAACTATAATGCGTTTAGTACAATAAATATAAATGTTTATTACTTTGAAGATAAACTGGTGTACTATAGTAACACAAAGTACGAATTGGTAACTGAACCATCGGTTCTCAGACAGTAAAATACTTGACTTACTGTATACTGAAATTCAAGTGATGGATACATAAAGAGTTATTGTAGACTGGTAATGCACTTTATGTAATGCAAAATAAGTCATAATTTAATACCGAACAATAGTGGTCCTAAACTAAGTTATGGTACTTATTTACACTCTACACGTATCAAAATTATAAATGATATTTTAATTATATTGAACTTAAAAAAAAATATTATAAATATTGTAGCCTACTACAGGATACAAATTTTTCAACTAGATATTGTAAACAACCATATTATATCACTATTATGGAAGATTCGTAGCACAAAAAACTTACTATTATGATAATAATTATATTTTGGGGTGGATAAACTTTAATTAAAAGAATAAGGCGTCATATGATAACTTATTGTAAAAAAATACCGTAGTAACGCTTGCTTCATCAATTTCACAAACAACATGAATTCCATGAATATGGAGTGTGACACCTGTTAGTTTGTGTGTGATAAAGTTGTTAAAATATCCATAATGAGAATTCATTACAACAGTATATAATTTTGTATATTGAATGTAAATTAATAATATAAATTATAGCTATGGCTGTGAATAAAACAGATTTTATGTTTTATAAATAGCCTCACATGAAGTGGAATGACGTCACAGCTTACATTGTTACCAGACGCCGTAATTATAATCAGTTCTGCCATTGTTCACTTGAACAGCCCTACATAATTGAGGTCAGGTCAACGTCTATGCATGAAGTAGGCCTGCATGACCAGACTTACTATATCCCACATCCTAACCTAAATTTGGAAAATAAATCACAACATACAATATAACAATGAATGCAAGTTAAGTTTAGACTACATAATCCATGATTTTGAAACACATTTTGAAATGTTTTTGTGGTATGTATAATATTTGCATAGTGTCTGGAGAAATTTTAAAAGTACTACCTACTGTAAAATAATAACTGTTTCACTATTTGGACTGATAATACTCACGTAAGCAAACTTTTTTATAAACAATTAGATACACTTAGCTGGAATAAAAAAATACTTATTTAACACAAGTAAATTAACTGATGATAAAATTTTCACATTACTTCGTT